AATTTCTCTGGAATAAAATCTGTTAAGTACTTTCAGCACCTTTTTGGGTTGCTTTGATAGGAGAACAAGGCTGTTCTTTTAAGAGTAAGCCACTAAACAGTAATTATTCATAAACTTTGCATAAGCTCCTGCCACCTGATTCCTGCATGATTTTAATTCCTGCCTTGCTTTTCTCTTTGGACTGTGACTCAGGAAATGTAAGCCAAATAAACCTTTTCCTCTTCAGGTTGCCTTTGGTCATGGCATTTCATCACAAAAGCAGCCTAAGACAGAAATTAATATCAAGAGTGGGGTGTTGCTGTGGCAGGCTTGATGGTGTTTTGAGGGAGGATTGTGGAAGTATTTTGGAACTTTGGGATAGAAAAAGAGATTGAGTGTTAACTCAGTGGGCCGTACTAGAAAAGCTTGGAAAATAATGCTGGTGGAGGCCTGGCTTGTGAAGTTCAGAGGGAAGTTTAAAAACTTCGTTAGGGCCCTCACTACTTAGAATTAAGAATCTGGTGTCTAAATCATCTGGGGCTGAAGGATCAACCTTTTAAAACAAGAGATCAATACCACTGAAATGAAACCCGTGTTTTGCTGGGACAATCTAAGCTGGTCTGCTGAAGCTGAGAACTTAGAAGTGGTTAAGAAGGGACTACTGAGGTGAAATCATCTGGGGAGCATTTCCTTAGAGTCAGAGCACAGATGCTGTGCTTCAGAGGTGGCCCAGGTTGTACCTGGTGTTGGCAGCCCGACTTGGTAAGCTTCTCCCAGGTTACTGGTTTTGAAGGCCAGAAGGGATCATGGAGAGCAGCTGAGCCCTGGAACTGTAAGGTGCCAGGAGAGATCATTGGTGAAAGTGCAGCCTTAGTAGCAGTTGAAGGAGCAGGATTAAAAAAGCCAGGCTGAATGTTTGGCAGTGAGTCTCAGTATATGTTTCAAGCCATTGCTAGGTGGAGCCTTTAAGAGGACAAATCTGGTAGGCTCCTGTCTGCAAACATATCAGAGTATTATTAATAGTGATAGGGGTTGGCTCTCTTTCATGGGTTGAGTTTTAGGGTTGGGTCCAACATTTGTTGGACATTTCCTCAATCTCTGTTCTACCTGTTCTATCCTTGTCCCTGCAGGTCTTGTAGGTAGGGTAAGTTTTGGAATGTGGTTTTTGGGGGTGAGTTGGTGATCTCCTCAATCTATTAGGAGTTTTGTCTAGAAAAAGGGTGTCCTCTTCAGTCTCCATGGCCCATGCTACTAGGAGTCTTAGCTTAGGGAATCTACTGGAAAAGAGGGGAGAAAGATAAATGGACCTAGAAGTCACAAAAGCTCCAGAAGAAGACCATCGGAGTCTATCAACCAGGGCCCAGGGCAGCTCAGGGAGTCTGAAGCACCAACCAAGACAATGCACAGTCAGCACCTAGGTCCCCTACTTAAAAGTAGCCGATGGGCCTCTTAGGCCTCATATAAGTCTACTAGTTAGGGGAGTGGAGGATATCTCTGACATGGACTATGTTGCCTGATTTTTCATTACTTCCCCTGATGACACTGCCCTATCAGGCCACAAGGGAGGAAGATGAACTCAGTTCTCATGTGAATAGGTAAGCTGGGGTGTCTGGGTTGAGGGGCTCCCCTCTTCTGAGGAATAGGGAAGGAGGAAAGTGGGAGAAGGGTGGGATTAGGAGGAGAGGAGGGAGGGGTCTATGACAAATGTAAATTGAATTGGTTAATAAAAAGAAGAATTACAAATGTAGAAACAGTCCCCCCACCCCACACACAAAAAGAGCCATGCTGACATTTTGAAGCTTGGCAGCGTGAAGCAAGCTCATGAGAGGCTATTGGCCAAATGCACGCCAGTTGCAGTAGGAGGCCCAAGCAGGTTGGAGATGCCAATGCCATGGGATGATCACCAAGAACAGCAGTGGCTGTGGACTGGAGGCAGCCTAAGCCTAGAAGATAAGCTTTGTGTGCTATGAATGGATGTACAAGCTCTTTCAAGGAGCCTAGAAGACTGTGAGTGGATTCCAGACATTGGACACTGGGTTATTTACACAGTTGTATTTTGATTTTTCTTTATTCAGATTGAGATTGTGCCCTGGTTCTTCCCTCTTGAAGTAAAAAGGTGCTTATTTTTTATTTTACAGGAACCTACCATTGAGAGACATTGAAAATTTAAAGATATTTTAGATTTCAGAAGAGGGTTTGGAATTTTAAAAAGATGACTTTTAAAGTATTTGAATTTGCAAAGGCTGTGGGGCTTTTTATGTTTGTAAATGTTTTATGTTGTGATGTTGATCTTGGGGATAAACAGGAAAGAAAAGGTTATAGCTTAAATGTTTTATGTTAGTGTGTTGAGAAGTTTTTATGTCAACTTGACACAGCTAGAGTCATATGAGAGGGGGGAACCACAATTTGAGAAAATGCCTCCATCAGATCAGGTTGTTGGTAAGCTGGTAAGGAATTTTCTTAATTAGTAATTGGTGAGGGAGGGTCCAGCCCATTGTGGGTGGTATCAGCCCTGCGCTAGTAGCCCTGGGTTCTACAGGAAATCTGGCTGAGCAGGCCATGAAGACCTAGCTAGTAAAATGCTCCTTTGCATCAGCTCTTGGCTCTAGGTTTTTTTTTTGCCAGTGTCAGTTCTTGCCTATTTTCCTTCAATAGACAGTGACTCTGGGCATGTAGCCAAATAAACGTTTTCCTCCTTGTCTTAGTGTTCTGTTGCTACGAAGAGATACCGTGATAACTCTTATAAAGGAAAACTTTTAATTGGGGGCTTTCTTGCAGTTTCACAGGGTTAGTCTGTTATTATCATGCCAGGGAATGTGGTGTCAGGCAGGAACTCATGCGTGGTGCTGGAGGAGTAGCTGAGAGCTTTACATCCTGATCCACAGGCAGAGAGAGATGCATACACTGGGCCTGACCCACCCTCAGTGACACATTTCCTCCAACGAGACCGTAGTTATTCCAGTGAAGTACACCTAATCCTTCTCAAAAGGGTTCCACTTACTGGTGACTAAGCGTTCACAGGGTCATCCTTCCAAATGTCATGGCTTTTCATCACAGCAGTGATAACCCTTGGGAGGGCTGTTAACATGGCTTTAGGGAACTGAGAAGGCTCTCTTAGGCGTACACAAACAGTAAACAGTTGCTGGGGCTGGAAATGGGGGAGAGACTCTTCAGTTGTATAGCTGCCTGTGAATTAAGCAGGGGGCTTTTTGGTTCAGATGCCTTTGACTCATCTATGCTCTTTTCATAGCCCCCGTAAAAGTACTGCCTTCCTGAGCTGGACTTCCTGTGGCTTATTTGTTCCCCTTGTCTTGTTTTCCTTATGGGGTCCTAAGTAAAATTTGTCAGTAAATTTTGTCAGCACTACCCAGTAAAATTTGTCAGTTCTGAATTCTATCCTTTCCATCAGATGGCATAGTATCTCATACCCCATTTTATTTTTATTTTTTTAAACTAAAAGTGGGTATTGATGTTTTGCCTGAACATCTGTGTGCTATGTATGTGACTGGTACCTGTGGAGACAAGGAAAGGTTGTCAGATTCCTGGGAACCAGTGTTTATAAATGGTTGTAGTTGGTTGATAGGAATCAGACCTGGGTTCCCTGGAAGAGCAGCAAGTGCTTTCAATCTCTGAGCCATCTTTTTAACCCCTCATTTTAAAGGAAGAAAACAGGATTATAGGTTTAAATGGCTTCATGAAGTCACATGACCCATGTTGCTGTCCACAAGCCCTTCATCTTGATATTTTTTTCACTTCCCTCTCTGATGCTTACCATAAAATTTGGATTCGCAGGCTTGGATTTAAACAAAGGGACAATAATTGGACATTCTGGTCCTTTCTATTCTGACTAAACTGCTTCCTCTCCCAGGAAGCCATCTTTGCTACTTAGTTACTTAGGCAAATAACATCTCCTATCTATCCTCAACATCCCTCCTCCACCCCCAGGACATTCTGTCCAGCTTTTTAAAGGCAGATATAATTCCTTATGACTCAGGGCATTTTTGCATCCTTCTTCTCTGTTATGGGTCCCTCAGTGTCCTGCCTGGTTTTCAGTGTTCACTGTGGCACACCCACTCCTATGCCTCTTTGAAGCAAGGTGTTGAGTGAAGATTCACACTCTGAGATGCTTTTTAATAAAACAACTTCCGTTCCAGTGGTATGACTTGTACTTTTCGTATCAGGCAAAAATAAAAATGGGAAGGATTACTAGCGGCACCATGGATATGGGAAGGAGTACCGGAACATCCAGAATCAGTAAGGAATAATGGCTGTAAATTGCAATTGCAAAATCTTTGTATAATTTTTGAATTGGGGTGGAGACTCCCATTATATAATTTTCTGTGAACATTGGAAACAAACAAACAAACAAACAAACAAACAAACAAACAAACAAAAGGAGACATGTGCCGTGCATGCATGGATAGACATTTCCTTTAGGAGTCATAAGCTACTATTTCCAATATTTCTGACTTATTGTGCTAGCATAATACTTGACCCTGTAAATAAAACTAGTTAGTATGTTGAGATCGGGCTGGTCCTGCTCTCAGTTACTCCACACCCTGTGACTTGCCTGACACCTTTCATTTTGCAAGTAAGTTTTTGATCCAATTTTAGTATAGACATCAATGTGCACCTGTGTGAACATATGAACAAGACCAACTGTCTGGCACCATTCACGGAACAATGACTGATAAATGACTTATCCTGGACTGTAGAAAAAAAAAACACCCTACAAATTTATTGGACTGAACTGGGACTATCAGGGCACATGAGTATATTTGAATCATATCAGGAAACGTGTTTTCACTTTGTGTACACAGGCATGCTTTTTGCCCAAGCAAACTTTTGTCTCATTTTGGGCATGAAGACCTCTAATTTTAAGAAGAGCCTTGTGTTCTCTTTAGTTTTAGAGATTCCTCTTTTAGCTAGGAAAATGACCTCACACCACAGCCTTCCAGACAGTTGTATGTCAGAAGTTCTGTTCCCAGCGGGCTTCCATAAGCTATGAGAGGGAGGCAAGATCACTTTCAAATGAACCAATTTAATATCCAGAAGCAAATGAACATTTATGAAGTAGACAGAAAGAAAATTGAAGGTACAATTTTATGACGTGGCCATTTCCATGCTGTTTTTATCCCATCATTTTGTGTTTATAAGCACTTTCTTTACAGGAAGAAGCATCATTCTATTTGCAACTCGTAGATGAAAAGCTTTATCATTGAGCACATAAGTGATCAAGCTACTACCAATCTGGAGGCCACAGCAGTTCAGGATACGGATCTCCTGACCTTAGCCTAGTCCTCCCATCTTTCCTCAGCCACCTTCTTTCTCTCCCTGCATATATGAGCAGCCCCAATGGCTCAGTGCATTCCTCAGGTCTTCATGCTCTCCTTCCTCTTTCCTTCTCTGACATTACAGTCTAGGGACAGCACAGATGTGGTGGCTGACTGGGGAAATAGTGATGCCAAATCTGAACTTCAGGGTCAGCTTCTCATTGGCTGGAGGCTTGAAGGTAAATTTTTGCACAAGGGCAGTGAAGAAAATAAAGAGCTCAGACCTGGCCAATTGTTCTCCAAGGCAAGCTCGCTTTCCTGCAGGAGATAAAACAGAAGATGAGATACTTTCACAGCTAGCATTCATGCTTGCAGACACTGGAGTATTCAGTTTCCTCTTGCAAATCCTGAAAGGTCTCTGCTCTGTGTGTCTAGCTCTTTATTGATGTGTCTCAGTGACTGAATGTAGATCACAGGTCAAATGTCTTTCTGTGGGACGACAGAAGGGAGAGGCCTGAGGCCTGGCTGAGCGACTAGTCCCAAGGCTTTTCAAATTCATTTGACAAGCATAAATGATAGACCACACAATGGCTAGGCAGCAAAGTCATGGAAGGTTATATAATCCTTATGAAAAAGAGCTAGCTAATGCTTAAGGTTATTTACTACTCTACCAGAGGACTGTGGTTCAAATCTCACCACCTACATCACGAGACTCACAGAAACCTGCACTTCAGGTTCAAGAGACTCAATGCCCCCTTCTGGCCTCCATGGGCGCTATCTCTCACATACATGTATATACATATGCAGAGACACATACCCACATATGAAAATAAAATAAAATAAAATAAAACAAATGTTAGAAAAATGAAAGAAGATTCCAAAATATAAGCAAGAGTCAGAGATGAGTTCCTAATATGAAAGTCAGGGACATGCAGGCTGCCCTTGCAAGGGATCTAGTTAGTTCATTGGGTTTTTACATCTATAACTGACAACTGGACACAGAATTATGTTTGGCATCTTTGCATTAATTTTGTCTCCTGTTTTAGACATTGAGTCATATTCCTGCTCAACTTTACAGACAGGCATGCCTGTCATTTAATAAGTGCACATCTAAACCTGGCCATCATCCCATTCAAGGATGAAGATGCCAGGGCAAAAGGATGTAGGGTATGGTTATCAAACTGATAATAGGCAGTGATCCTCCTACAGAACCCTGGAGTGTCACCCAGAAGCCTTCAGTCATTCCATTGCAGCTTTCGGGAGCAGCAATACCCAGCATGAGAATTCTGACCTCTAAGCAAGAGCTGCTATCTCACAGAGGCCAAACTGCTTAGCTTCCCCTCTAGAATCTCTGCCCTGACAGGTCCATACCGTGAAAAAAAAAAAAAAAAGTGGAGACTGCTCCTCACTGCCTCCATGGGCAGTGGAGATTTGCTTAGCAATGCAGATTGCTCCTACCCCTATGAGTGGCTGTTTTCAGAAAACCAATGTTCTGTGTGAGCAGAACTGAGAAAATGATCAGTCAGATTCAGTGTGACAAAGCCTAAGGTGGTCTGGGTACTCATGATTCTTGTCTATTTTCTTTAATAATATCAGCGCTCATGTGCACAAGCCTGAAGACATGCCAAGGAGCTGTATATCACTCCTCTTCCCTGCATTATCAGAGGAAATACAAAATTAACCATCTGTCTTTATTATATTTTGTTTAACTTCTGGAGAAAACTTTGGTGTGACCCACCTCATGCTCCAAATCATTTTCTGGCTTAGGATTCTGGTTATATATTATCCTCAGTCATAGGGATCTTTATGGTATACCGGTTAACAGATCCACTAGGCTTCAAGCTGTGTCATGACACCCTTGATGTCACAAGCTAGACTTCTCTTTGGTGTCTCTCTTGCCCTCCTCACATTGACACAATTCCTCAACCTCTGCGAAACTTCAAGTTTTTGGCTTTTTAAAAAGATTATAAAAAGCATTTTCCTAAGCATATCCTTATCTTCCTCTAGGCAGATGGGGCCATGGGCATCTGCCATGGGAGTTTGCCACTGATGTTATACTGTGTTCTCATCTGACCTCTCTGCAGGCAACTGGTTTTCAGATTTTATTATTGGGGAATATTTGACGGCAGTAGTGTCTACATTGTTCTTTTCAGTTTTCTTTTTCTTTTCAGTTTTTATAAGTGAAAATATTTTGAGACTGTTCATTTGCATGTTTCCATTGGTGTTTCTTTTCCAAATTTTGTATCTGGATGCCAAATTGTGACATTAGAAATTCTACCACATTTCTCATTTATATATTCCTATTCTTTAAAAAAATGAATTTTTATTGTATGCATATGGTGTGGGTGTTTTGTCTGCATGTATGTCCTTGCACCGCATCTGAGTAGTGCCCACTGAGGCCAGAAGAGGATGTCAGATCCCCAGATACTGAGACTTCAGATGGTTGTAAGCTGCTGTGAGGGTACTAGGATTTGGACCTTGGTCCTCTGGAAGAGCAGCCAATATCTCTTAACCACTGAGATACCTCTTTAGGTCCTGTGTTGACATTCCAATGCTGCTGACCACCTCTATATGTAAACACTCATGAATATCAGTAAGTATTGCAACCCATTGTTAACCAGTACTTGTTTTAAAGCCCCAAACATTCCTGAGTTGGCCATTTAAAGTGGCCTTTTTTTTTTTTTTTCTGATTTTTGGATAACAGTGTGTTTCATACTTATAGTTTTCCTTCTCCAGAACTGAATTTTGTCATTTTCAAGAACTCCTGGCTCTTTTCATCGAATAATAATATGCAGAATGTAATACAAAAGACCTGGCTATGAGGTAAGCCAGATAAACAGACTGTACAGTCATGGAGTGACAGTTCCCAGCTTGGACTCATCAGGCCTTTGTGCTTCTGTTCTGTCTCTAGCATCCAGGATAAGATGTAAAGAAAGATATCCAAGATTATCTAGGCCACTGACATCACATGGAATACTGTGAGAGCATTGGGGTTTTACTAATTAATATAGTTAGTGATTGCTTGTTACACAGCAAAATGCTAATTGATATATAGGACATGAACTTGGTAATCCTTAAAAAAATGAGTGGGCCCATAACTGTGGCAGCAAGTTTCAATCTGGCTATAATGCAAAGAGAACTAAACTACAAGTGAAAACATAAGCCTTGGACACTGTTGGGTTAATTCTTGGGGCATGTGGTTTTGAATAAGAAAGAACTCTCTTTTAGCTATCCTTGTTTAGAATTGGCTTAAGGGAAGAAAATAAACACTGATTATTAATAAAAATATTGTTGTGGGGATTATTTGACACAACTGGCCGGCTTATGAGGTCCATAATTTAGAGTAAGTAATAACATTCTTGATAACATTATCAATGAGTCTCTCTATGCTGCCACTTTTGTTTACAACTGGTGCAGATGGGAGAACAGTTTAACTGGTTGAGGTATATGGCCCCTATGGGAAAAGAATTTTGCACTATAGTTGAAGAGAAGGCATGGACATGGGCAACAATGGGCCTGGAGAAACACCTTCCTGTGAAAGCCATGGGCGGGGACCAATCTGCTCACATTCTTCTCACCATAGTTCCAGGAATTATCACACAAAGCATTTATTCAAAATGAAAGAAAGGTCATATTTCATGGATCTGATTCATTAGCTTAGAATAGTTAGAATAAGTGAAATATGTAAGTGAGATTTTGTACTATAATTCACAATTTCTCAGTTTTTTTATAAACAGGGAGACTGGTCAGAGTCCCTGTGTCCTATTAGTTTTTCTATTAACTTGAGTTGTGAACAGTGAACAAAGGCACAGACAAGCCCGGGTGGAAAGAGAAAGAGGTCAGAACCAGTCTCTTCCAGACACACCCAGGGCTGCCTAGCACTGAGAAACACTGACTCTGGATCTACACTTTCAAGAGGGCAAACTCAGCTTTTCCTTCTTGAGCCTCAGTGTTGTGAGAAGTGACTCTGCCTTAGGTAATCAAGCAAACCTGTCAAGCATTCCTGTGTGGCTTCTGTGTAGCATTTAGTCGCCTTCTGGAGGCAGTGTTGTAAAACACAAGCTTCAGCGTGAGAAAATCTGGTGGACACTGAGCTCCAGGTAGAGCACATTTGCCTAGGCCTTAATCTTTGCCATGCTAATTCCCACCGGAAATGCTTTAGTGGGACACATGCTCCAAGGAGCAGCTTTGCTTCCTTATCTGTCCTATTACTGTCATGCTCTCAGGTTGGATGTTTGACAGATAATATATGCTTAGAACATATTTGTGGAATTAAGGAATTGCAAAATTACCTGAAAAAAATATGCAACATATATAAGCCAATATTTAGAAGATAGCAGAACATTTGGTTATTGATTGCACAATAATACTCTACTACAGTCTTTAGTAACTTGCCTGGTGAAAAACACCAGGGAGAAAGAATCATCACTGCATTCATTCCCTTTCCTGTTTGTAGGTGGTGTAGCAGATGTAAGAACTAATTACAATTAACAAAGGGAATTTTAATATAAAAAGATAAGACCTATTTGGGGACTGAAGGGAATTTCAATTTAAAAAGATCAGGCCTGTTTATAGGGCAGAAGCCGGTTCACTTAAGTAAATGACAGCTAAATCTATTTAACAAAGTAAAACCTGTAAAAACTCAGCTGACTTCCCTGTAAGGAGGCAGCCCTTTAAAAGAACACTTGGCAGTCAAAATGCTTACAATGAATGGCAAGTGCTCAGCTTTGCTGGTCAGCAAGAGGCAGGGGTTGGATCTCTGTTGTCAGCATTGTAGAAAACAGAACAAGAGGAATTGAAATCTCCATCAGAAGGAAGGGGGATTTACAATGTATGAGTGGGGGTGCTGGGCTGAAACCAACCTCAAATGGAGTCATACTGGGCATGCTGGTCTGTGAAGACCCCTGGAAGGAGGGAAGGGATGAGATGGAGCTCTGAACTGTCTCCTGCTCATCACAACTCACCCATTGAGAATGGCAGAAAAGATTCTCTCTTCTTAAACTGTCCATTCTCCAAAAAGTGCTCTGGATTGAAGACATCGGGGGTTGCCCACTCTTTGGGGTCCATGTGCAGTGCAGTAAAATTGGTCAGGACCATGGAGCCCTAGGAGAAATAACAAAGACTCAATATATGGAACAGACACACACAGAGGGCTGGTGGGTATTAAATTCCCAGACTTGAGCCTACTTACTTTCGGCAAGCGGAATCTGGCCAGTGTAGTGTCAACTGCCACTTCCCTGGGAACATTCAAAGGAACGATATTGCCCATTCTCTGCACCTCATGGACAACAGCATTGGTGTAGGGCATGGTGTCCCGGTCAACCAGGCAGGGCAATCTTCCTTGGCCAATCACTCTGTCAATCTCAGCCTGTACTTTTTCTTCAAGGAAATGGGAGACTCCATTAAGTTTTAAATTTCAATGCTTTCCTTTAAAGATCTACAAATTGTCTTCAAAACTTACTTTCTTTTTATTTCCTCTATCATCCTGACTGTAAGAAAGTTTTCTTCCCATCCCCCCCACCAAAGAGCTTGATTTAAAAAACTACAAACTATAACTTTATTCAAGCCTACATCATAAGCATTTATTTCCACATATTCTGAACTGAATATCCAGGATCACCATAGCTCATTGCATCTATTCAGATTTTTAGAAATAATTACTTTTTACTGAATAGATTATCAACAATATACTTCTATTTTTTTCTGCTTGTAGAATTTTGAATTCTAAGATCAGGACATCAATAGATTTCTTATCTGGCAAGGACCAATATCCTTTCTCATAGTTAGGAAAGCTTTCTTGTATCCTCATGCCACAAGGTGGGAAGAACCTCCCTGGTTCCTCTTTTTTAAAAATACATTCTCTTCATAATGGCTAATCACCTCTTACCATCATGCCACCACTGATTAAGTTCCAATGAATTTATAGGAAGGACACCAACTTGAGACACAGCACACCTGCAGACTTATTTCTCAAGGAGATATGTCGTCGTGGGCAGTGGATAACAAAGCATTTCTAGGGAACATGGATGGAGAAGCTACTGAAATTCTTCGAGCTTCAGTTTCCTCATTTGATCATTGAGAATAAATCGTCCTTATCAAAACAGTATTTTGAGATTTATATGAACTAATATAATAATAATAATAATAATAATAATAATAATAATAATAATAATAATAAATGATAGATATTTCCTCTCAGTATCTTTGCCACTTTTTTTTTTTTTTTGAGTGTAGAGATTCAGCTGTTTGTATGTTTTTCTGGCCAAAATTGTCATTTCCCAGATTCCTTAAAGAGGAAATGTGACCAAGTTTTGCAAATAAAACAAAAATAGATGTGATATTTCAGCATTGGAACAAGACTTGTAGAGACAATGTCTGGTTCCTTCCCCAGTTCCCTTCCTGCAGGTGCAAAGGGAGCCACTGATGAGAGCCACTTTAGAAGCTGGCAATCCTCCTCACCTGCGCTCAATACAGCTATAAGCTGAAAAGGATTTGGAACTCTAGGTCATTATTAAGGTCCAGCCTGGCTCTTTCTCCTGAGAGAGATACATAAATATCTAACATTGGCACTACTGCACACATAAAAAGTTATTTGGAAATAAACTTCACATAATGTAAATCAAATCAGAACTATGATGATTTTGAGATAGAGCAAATCTTTGGCCATAATGGGTTTTTTAACACTCTTGTCTCAGTCTCAGTCCCACATTAAGGATGTAGGCCACTAACCATAGCTCTTCTTATTATTTTTAGGTGTGCAGGAAAAATAATATTAAATATATCTATATGGCTGTAAAAGTAATAGCAGGGACATTTATTTCATCTTGCAAAATAAACTGTCTTCACAAGTTTTGGTTTATTCCTCTTGTAGTCTATCTATGTCCACAAATTTAACTATTCTAGAGAACTTGTATAGTTGAATACACAGGTTTTTTTTTTTTTTTTTTGTCTGCTATATTCATGCATGCATCAGGACGTTTTTCCTTAGGGCTGAATTTCTGTACTGAACTTTACTCATGGTCCACGAGTGTCCTGTATGTTTCCTTCTGTTGACTGCTGTTAATACTACAAAATGACCATGAATTAAATTTCTATCAATTAATATACCGATGGCGAGATGGGTTAGCACATATGGCCAAACCTGATGATACGTGATTGGGCTCAGGAGCCTACATGATAGGAAAGACCAACTTCCAGAATTATTTTTGATCTACATACGTACACATGGAAAGCGAAGCATGCAACTGTACACATACACACGTAAAATAAATAAATACATTTTAAAAGCTTTTAGAAATTGCCAACACCCACGCCAGTGTCGCCATAGTAGCATAAGCTACAGGGCGGGGGATACACTTTCTCCGGAAATTCGCCCCCTGGAAGGTCCCTGCTAGACTCATCCCACTTGGAAAAGAGACGTGTTCTGAGATTTCTACGCTTTTTCAGTTGTGGCTCTGGGGCTGGAATAATGAATTCTTTGATCTTTCTCTGTGACTCCTAAAACAGCACAACTAACTTTATAAAGAAATTTATTATTAGTAGATTGTTAAAGGCTTTAATAAAAATAATAAGTTTAAGAAAAGTAATGAATTAGATTTAGTATTAATAGGCATTAAGAATAGTGAAAAAAATAATAGGCTCCTTCTTAAGAAAAAATAGCATGAGAGGTGCAGTTGACGAGAGTTTCCCCTCCCTTCAGTGCCTTGTTTCTAAGGAAGATCATAAATCTTTAGCAGGACATATGGGAGGATGGTTAACAAAGGTGTAGTTAGATTTTGATACAGGGAAAGACTTTGGCAGGTATCTGACTTAGCTCCTGACTTTCCTCTTCACTGGTTAGCAATAATGAAACTGCATTTGAGGTTTCTTTTTCTTTGTTTGCTCTGATCAAAAAGTTTTTAGGTCAAGATTTATTGTGGGCACTGCTTTATGTTTGACTACATTTCCGGTTAAAATGTAAACTTTGTACTCTTGGTAAAAAGTCTGAATGTTCTGGGAAGTATGCCAATTTTAGGATGCCTTTTGTATAAAACTACTAGCTTGATTTCAGTAAAGTTGCAGCAGAGTCAAAACCATCAAGGTGTCTCTATCTGTCAATTCATCACCGAAACCGTGTCTTCCTGTCCAAAGCCTTGTTCTCCCGTGGATGATGGGAGCCCGACTGGGCCAGTCCTTGGCAAGAAATCTACCGAGATCTTGGAATCTTTGTTTTAGAAGGCAAGCCTGAATCATAACTCAATAGGCTTTAAGGTTTGTTAAAAATGTACTCTTAGCAAGAAAGACATTTTAAGTAGTAACCCAGATTGATATATATAATAGAGATACAGTCATATATATATGCACACACACTCATATATATCTTAGTAAATTTATTGCCATGCAAGCATAAGAACGTGAGCTGGCATCACAGAACAAACTTAAGGTGTGACAGTCCGCACTTATTTGTTATCCTAGCACTTGTGAGGCAGAGGCAGGCAGATCCCTGGACTGGCAGAAAGGTGCATATCACAAGACATCAGCTCCCGGAACAAAGAATTAGGACAGTACTCCAACAGGGTAAGATTGCTAAAAAGGAAGGAGGGCATGGGTGATCGTTGTTGTTTGGTAATGTCATTCTTGTTGGAACCTACCACAATGTAAAGTGACATTTCTCTCTTCTCCTAAACTTCAACATTCTTGAGGGTACAGACTCTCTGATATCTGCACTCTCGGAGCCATCATGACCCTAACAGAACATGTGCAGGATGTGCCCTTTCCCTAGGGTACATTGCCTCACGTCTCTTTTCACTCCATCACATTCCACTTCTCCTCACCCCCTTCTCCTTTGGTTAGATGCAGTCACCACAGGCTCACCTTGGACTTCTGGGTAGAGGGCCATGTAGAGCATTGCCCAGCGCAGTGTCGTGGATGTTGTCTCTGTTCCCGCAAGGAACAGATCCAGAGTGCTGCAGATGAGGGTTTCTTCATTGAAACTTGTAGTAGTCTTGTCTGGGTGCTGGAAAAGACAGCGTGTATTTGTTTATTCAGAGGATTTGTCATTGTCTTACAACCCTGGTCCTCACCCTGAGGAATGGACTGGATCTAGTCATTCAGAATGGTGGTCTCTTTGATCCTCAAGTGCTGGAAGCTCTTGGCTGGATGAAAATCAAAACAGTCATTTTCTTATTACTAAACATTTGGAAAAGTCTTTGTACAGTAGGAAGAGAATGTTCTAAAAAAGCTTATTTGGCTTCTAGTGTTTGCCATGTCACCAAATATCTGCATGGCCTAGGGCACTTTGTGTTCTTCTACATCAGTGTACATAATGAGAACAACACATGCATCTTAACACACCATTGTCACCTGTGGGGAATGCAACAGGCTAAAAGCCAGTGTTTGGTGACTTTGTTGATACCAGAAGGATTAATATTAATTATATGTGTTCAATGATTCTCCAACCTGGATCATTTTGCAGTTAGAACTCCACTGATTCTGTCAATCATTCCTTATGACACAGCATGCCGGAGCCAGCTGGGCAGGGTAGAACGGTTCTTGAGTTGGGCGTGAGGATTAAAATTAATAAAATAAACACACAGCACACAGGAAACTTTTTAAAGGTCCAGACTCGACAGCCATGGCAAAAAGCAGACTGCTGCAGCAAGCAGTGCCAGCAGAAAGCCTCAAGTCTCTGCCTGCCTCCTCTGTCTCCAGCCTTCTTTTCTGTCTCCAGCCTTCTCTTGCCGCCGTAACTGTAGGCCTGTCTTTTTATTGTAGAGTTTCTGAGCCAGAGTAGAAACATCTCAGAACAATAGGTTAATTTGCACAAGGAGCTAGAGGAAGAGGTGTGACCCTCACAAGCTATCCCACCTGCTGTCACAAACAAAAGGAGATGGACTTGCAAGTTCTCTGCCATTAGTAAAGGCCTGCTAAAAGCCATCTCTCCACCGAGATTTAAATATCAAAGCCGGCCGCTTGGAGTCACGGCTCCCAACAACAGCATCTCCTTTACTCACTTCCTCCAGAAGTATCAGTTTGCTAATACTGCTCTCAGTGTCGGGTGGATCATATCTGTACTTCATATGGTAAATTATTTGCCTTCTTATCTGGGCATGAGACATTGCTTCTATCAGTATTAGGCCAGGAAGATAAAATAACAGAGAAGATGGAAAGATAAATACATAAATATTTACCAGGGCAGAGGAGGAGCTCATAATCCAGTGAGTTGAAGCTTCTATGATAGATTCAGTGATATGTATTAGCCAGAGGTCTACTGGGATCAAAGGCTTACGTTTTTACAGTATATGTCTTGAATTCAAGATCGTCCTCCACAGGCAAGTGTTTTAAATACTTGGTTCCCTGCACTGATAGTATTTGGGACATTCTCAGAAATAGGAATAGAGCATCTAGCTGAAGGACCTAGGTGGGAAGTAAGGGTAACTCATGGGAAGTAAGGGTAACTCTTACAGTTACACAAATCCCATGGTTACTTCCTTGTTTCTGCTTTCTGATCCCCTGTGATGTGAAAGCCTATGCCGTACCCTTCTGCCCCATGAACTTAGCTGCTTTGCCATTCACCATGATATACTGAAATCTGAAACTTTGCCAACACATATTTTTGCTTTATTAAGTTGTTGCTGCCACATATTGTCATCAGAGGAATGCCAAGTTAACTAATATGTCCACTCAGAGTCTTGCCTTTGTCTATTATTGCGTAGTGCTGAGCTGAAGAAAAGAGATTCCTCATCTAGATATGGAAATTACACTTACCACTTACTTAGCTGAAGTTTGTCTGTTACAGTGAGGTCCAGATTGGGGAGGTTAACCAACCTTGCACCCACTCATAGCAAAATAAAGTTCTGAAATTTAACTGCTACTTTTATTTTTGTGCATATCTTCCTCAGATATAGGAAGAAGACAGAGGAAGGAAATGAAGAGAGGAACTGAAGCCAAATGGTAGCAAACCCTTTATTTCGAAAAGCCTCAACAATCCCAAGATTATACTACCATGTCTACTTCCAAGGGTATGTTAAGTAATGATCTACGAAGATGTTCATATTTTCATCCTTGTAACCATGGCATGTTACCTGTGGATGTGATTAATTTTAGGAAAGGTTATCCTTATAAGAGGAGCCTACAGAGTTGTAACCAGAGAAATAAGATGTAAAGGGATCAGAAAGAAAAGAAGATGTTGCAATCTTGACATTTAAGTTGAAGCGAGGAGCCTCAGGAACAAACATCGATGTGGGAGATCCAAGGCGATGAAATTTTTATTGTCTCCTAAAGCTGCTTTCTTGGCAGACAGGATTACAGGGATTATGTTGAATTGCAAGAGAATGGCTGAGTATGTGCTAGGTTGTGCTAACCTGTTGCTGAATCAGTTGGAATCTATCCTCCAGCACTATTTTAGTAAGAAGATACAGGGCAGCATTCTCCTCACCTTTGTCATTTCATTGAGGAAAGCATCAATGAAGTCTCTCGGTTCATCAGGGTTCCAGTCTTTGCGGTGATTGCCAATTATATCAGAAATATACGATTTTAGGTCTTTCCAGGTAGCCAACAGTGTTTGGTGTTGTCCTGGGAGATATTTTATTATCCATGGGAAGATGTTGTAGAGCTGATTAGGGAGAAGAAGAAGCTCATGGAGACACCAGAAAGTCACTTTCTATGATTCAGGACCATCTTGACTTTACATGTTCATTTTCGATAGTGGAGCTATGAGAACATCTGGATGACTGTTTTTCTTCACACCTACTGACAAGCATTTCAACCCTCCCATGCAAAATGTATCATTCCCGGACCACTTCTCACTGGTCCAAGTGTTTCCCACTCTAGGACACACACTGTAGTTATTTCAGTTCTTTAGAACATTCAGTAGCTGTTCCAATTCTGATCCTAATGCCATCAAAGATACTGAAGGGCCAAAGGATGAAGGTGGCAGGAAGTAAGACCAGGCTGAAACACACAGAAAGCAGATAGCTCCACACGCAGTGGCTGCAAATTGACCTTATCAACCTAAATTTACCCCGGAGTTTGATAATTCTGAGTCTGAGACCATGGGCTGGGTCAAATTATGGAGCTAACCTGTTGTTCAGGAACTCTGACCTGCCAGGGCTGTATATGACACCTACACGGGCATTCCTGCAGTTTGGTGCTCAGTAATCAGCAGGTCTTGAATGTGTGAAGGCAGGTCCTCTTGCTTTCTCCAATCGCCATACACTCCCAGGAGAGTCTCACCAGGTGACATAATTAATCTAGGAAGTCTTGATCTTGTGAGAGGAGGCCTGATCACAAAATGCAAAGCCAAGTATGACCAGCAGAGGGCCCCCTGTTACAGTTTTGATGCCTCCTCCCCATTAAAAAAATCTCTTGTACTCTTCTCTCATAACATTTCTCTTCACTCCCTCATTATTAACTCTTGTTTCATTTCTTTTCTCTTTTTCCTAATCTCCTTCTTTTATTTTACTTATTTACTGTTTCTACACTTACCTTAAATAATTTCATCTTCATTGAAAACTGAACAGTAGCCTTCAGACTATCATTTCAACAGTGACATGTTAGTGAACCATCACTGATTTTAAGTGGATTTTTTTTTATATCTATAGAGTTTAATATTGCTTCTGAAGCAGTTTTTTTTTCACTCACAAAGTGACACTAGCTTCAAGAACAGGCTGCTCAATAAGAAGGTCATTTCAAGGAATCCAGAAAGCTATTCCAACCAAGATGCAGAAATTAAAGCAAAGAAATCCAAGAAAAAAAAAAAGGCAAGATGACACCTGTAGAACTCATAATTCAATTCAAAGACCCTGAAATATGTTAAATGTTGGGTGAAGTTTTTCTGATCAAAGTGTTTTCTGATCAAAATGATCAGAGACTGAAAGGGGGATACAAACAGGTGGAGGAGTTCAGTTTGAACCCATAAGTGAAAGTTGGCTGAGTGGAGGAAACAGGCAAAAGGAGGAGGAAGGTAGCATAAAGATGAAAAATGGGCAGAATAGGTGAAAATACAGAAGAAAATTGAAAAAAAACACAAACAAATAAAAATGTTGAGAATTTAAAAGTTGAATCAAAAATGAAAAAACAAAACAAAAAACAAACAAAAAAACCAAGACCACAGTGGAAAACACCAACAACAGTCTCCACCAAAGAGCAGATCTGGAAGGAAGAACACTGCTGATGAAACTCTACATTCCAACAGCAGTAATTAAAATTGAAATAATATCCATTCTCAAAATGAACAAGAACTATGACATATTCAAGAGACCAAGCCCAGGAGTTTGCAGGATTTTACTTCAGAAGCTGGGCTAAAAAGGAAAGGGATGGTAAATTCAATGAAATCACACCAGAAGTCCCAAGTCAAAGAAACAAAAAGACATTCAAATACAAGAGGCATTTAGATCTTCAAATAAATATGGCCAGATAAGAACATCTCTTGGTAAATGAAAACTGTAATGGAAAGAAAGTGTATTGAAAGTTTTAAGGGGTCCATCCTCGGGGATGGCTCTGCAGGCAAGTGTGCTTGATGCACAAGCCTGACACCCCAAGTTTAAGCATTGGATCTCACAGCTAAAGAATAGAATTGAGTCTCAAAAATCTCCTTTGACTTCACGCTCACTGCCATGCCTCATGCTCCTGTGCGTGCATGTGTGTGCACACATCTATAATTAAATTTTAGAAATTAAGTTCTAATAGAAATAGTCCCACTGATATGCAAAGACTGAAACAGGAGACTAACCTCAGATTTCTCACCAGCAACCCTCAAAGCCTGAAAATCTGGGAATGATATATTTCAAACTATGAAAAGTCATAACTACAGAAAGTTCATAACTAAAGAAAGGTCATGTATTGCACATTTAGTGGGTCTGTTTTAAAACTGGTGAGGACTAAGGAACACTTTCAAAACAAACATAGAGTAAATCAAGTTATTAACACCAAGAAAGCATGGAAGAAGATACTTAAAAGAGTGCTGCACACAGAGGAGGAAGAAAGATGACTCTCAATTATGAGAGCTCAGTAAACAGGAAAGAGCTGAATAAACAAGGGCTAGGAAGGAATACAGCATGTCTAACACAGTAGACAAACAAATGCTTAATATTAATTGAAGGAAAGCAAAAACCAAATAATCCAACCAACCAGGAAAAAAAAAACCCTGACAAAATTATCATAACTAGTTACGTCTGTCCATAATAACCTTACATGTTTATGGTCTAAACCCATCAATAAATAGATACAGGTGGATTGACTGACTAGATGAAAAACTAGATTCCACATAGTATTACCTCCAAAAAACACACATTACTGAAAAGATACCCACAGACTAAGAGCCCAGGATTACAAACAGTCCATGAAGCAAACAGACACTGAAAACAAGGTGGACTCTCTATTCTGATGTTAAAGCAAAACTTATCTAGAATACATACTGAGGCCACTACATAATTATAAAGGAACACATTTTTAATTAGTACAATTGAAAATACATATGCACCAAAATGTGAGGCTTTCAGTTTCATAAGAGAAGCAACAATGAATGTTCAGACAAATCTTCATACGATAATTATGGTGATGTGTGCATCACCATGCCTGCAGAGGTCATTCCAAGTTAAAACCAACAGAGAAACTTCAGAGCTCAACTGTCCCATACACAGCACATGGACCTTTCTCTAGAATAAACACCCACCTCTTACCAAATACAAAAGAATGAAATAATCTATTATATCCAAATACCCATAGTGTAATAAAACTAAATCTCAATAGCAAGACACACTACAGAAACTACACAAATACACAGAGACTGAAAAATAGATTCTGGAATAGACAGTGGCTCACTGAAAAAAAAAAAACATGGAGAAAATTGCCAAGCTTCTAGAATCAAATGAGGATGAAAGCTCAGCCTACCAGACCATTTGAGAGACAGCTAAAACAATTCTTAGAGGAATTTTATGCAGGAATAAACATAGGGGCCTGGTGTCCACCAACATGGGGATAAAGAAGAACCCTGAAAAGCTACATGTTATGGTATTACAATATTGACAGTTTCAAGTGAACAGGAACCAGTTTTTAATGTTTACATGAAAATATGAGAATAATGAATGGATGTAGCCACAAGAACAACTTGAGGTATTCACAAAAGTGTTATTAATAACAACCTTAACTGAGAAACAACTAACTGTCTAAACAATGAGAAAAGTTAACAAACAATGACAAAGGGTTAACCAAGAGGAGCATACAAACAGGATAGCCAGAAAGTATACTTGGAGTATGCATGGAAGCTTTGAAGGGACATGCCTAGGAGAAATAAAAGCAAAAGCAACAAGAATATTTTCATCCACTAAAAAAGAGCACCATTTAGACATAAATGGGTATCATGTAAGTGTTGCTTCTTCGTTAGAATATTATAAACATTTTGTAGTACACAGTAAATTTTCTTACCTAAAATTTCCAAATCAACACATAAATTTGAAATAAATTTGTGTCAAACCTAATTTCAAGACATATTTTAGCTTCAAAAAGTCCTGGAAACAAAAAGAAAGACCCTACCTGTACTTGAATCAACCCCAATCAATCCAGAATGCTTACATTGACCATTACTGAGGAACCCAAATACATGGCATCATCCAGTAACTTCAGCAGCTTCTGAAACTGACTGTCATCATACTCAAATCGTTCCCCAAAGGTGATGGAGCAAATGATGTTGGAAACTGCATTGTTGATACTGAAGTGAGGGTCAAAAGGCTGTCCTGAAGGTGCATAAAAAAGTTACATCTTTCATAGATATTGGATGTTAATTCCATATGACAGAGAAACACACACAATAGAGAACCAAGTGAGAAGCCCTGGCCAGAACATATACATGGGGTCTCTCATGTGCTAATGCCTGGGAAGTCAGACTGACTACCAGGATTTGGGTTCAGCACTGTGTTTAGTGAGCCATTTGTATGCTTAGCTGCGGGACTCCTGGGTCATGGCTAGATGTTCGCTGTTCAATCCTCAGTGTCCTGCACAGTGCAGGTCCAGGACGAGCACTCAGACACTTAGTAGGAATCTGTTCAGTGGATGAAAGGGTCACACAGCCCCCTGTACTTGGCCTATGAAATGCTCACCTCCCTCCTCTCCCATGACCTCCACAAGGTGGTGAGCCTCCTCCTGTATGCGCTGTTCTAAGCTCTTCTTTCCTAACCCAAAGTTCCTCAGAGTCATTAGGGCAAACCTTCTTTGCTCCTTCCATATCCGGCCACTGGAAAAGATCAATCCTGGAAAGAAGAGATTCAGAATTTGGCATTGTGATTCTGTTTTACAATTATCTCATAAACCTTATGGGTATATCTGCAATGGTAAGGAGAAAGGCCATTTAGGGACTTGACAGTTGTCTAGAGAGAATATCATAAAGCAAGGAACATGACGGGTAGCATTTCGGGGTAGCTTGCAACATCACACAGTTTAGTAAGCACTTCAAGTAAAGCTTTGAAGGTAATGTGGTTACTAGGTTGCTAACTTGGTGATCAATCTCAAGTCTCCCCCGAACCAAAACACCTACCCTTTATGTTGAATAGGTCCACATTTTTTTGATTAGTAGAAATTTTGTAAGAAGGAAGCAAACTGAAGCCACTTTGAATAAAACTTCCATTTTGAATAGGGATCAAATAAACTTAAAAGTTCCCAAGACCTCCCTGGTTGGTATCCTGGTTGGCAAGTTGAGACACAAATGCTAGGCAAATCGATCCATCACAGTTGAATAACTCAAACAATGGGAACAGAATATGGGAACAGACATGTTCCTAAGGAAGTCTTCTATCCTCTAATCCTGATTGGTGAGAAAACGTAACTGTAACTTGGCACAGATGTTTGTAGTTTTCAAGTTTAAAAGCTCTGTACTATTTAGGGGGTGGGGGGCAGTTCAGCTCCTGAGTCTGTTCTGATTGATTGATTGATTGATCACTAGTGACTTGATTACAAAATGTTTTGTCATATGCCTTGACTTGGCCTATGAGTTGTGCTGGATCTAAGCGAACTGCATAACAATATAAGTCTTGTTATCTATGTTAAGCTGAATGCCAGGAACCACTCCTGGGACCGTAATCTGTATGAGTTGGGTTCTAAATCAATGGTTCTCAACCTTCCTAACGCTGTGACCCTTTAACTTAGTTCCTCATGTTGTAGTGACACCCAACCAAAAAATTATTTCCATTGTTACCTTATAACTGTAATTTTGTTACTGTTATTAATCATACTATAAATATTTGATATTTCTGATGAGCTTAGGTGACTCCTCTGAAAAAGCCATTCCACCCTCAAGGAGGTTGCGACACACAGGTTGAGAACCATTGCTCTAAAGGACAAGAACTGATAGAATGAATCTAGATATATTAAAGAGGGATTTATTAGACAACGTTAACTAGACTATCTCCTGATGAAAATGGCAATAGTGCTGTGATTGTTCAGTCTATGAAGCTGGATGTCTCAGTCTTCGCTATAGATTGGAATTCTAAAGAAGTACGTTCAGATACCTGTTCTAATGCTGAAGTCTACAGAAGGCAGAGAACACAGCAAATGTCACCTGCCAAAGACCAAGGTATTTCTGTGCAAGTCTGCTGTAGCAAGCACAGAATAAGGAAATAATCTTTTTACATTTATATATTTATCTATCGTCTATCTATCTAATACCAAAATTGAGAAAATGCCACCATAAGACAGGGCTGTAGGCAAGCCGTGGAGCATTGTCTTAATTAGTGTTTGGTGTGGGAGGGCCCAGCCAAGGTGAAAGGTGCCAACCCTAGGCCAGCGGCCCTGGGCTCTATAAGAAAGAAGTCTACACAAGTAATGAGGGGCGAGCCAGTAAGCAGTATTTCCCCGTGGCCATTGCATCGGCTCCTGACTTCAGGTTCTTGTCCTATTTGACTTCCTGCCATGACTTCTATTGATGTTGAACAATAATATGGAAGCATAAACCCAATAAACATTTTTCTCTCAAGTTTTTTTTTTTTTTTTGTCACAGTATTTCATCATAGCAATAGTAATCCTGAGGCGTATGTCTAGCGCTATGCTTATCATGGTGGACAACACAGTGAGTTGATGTAGAATCAATTAATGTATTCTTTCAAAGAGTAATTAGCATCTAAAAACTGTTTTATTAGATTAATAAATTTCACATTCTGTTGTCAACTTTATTTGATGATAGTATAAAGTATCCATGCTAATAAATTATACCATGTCTAGGAGCCAAGAGGTCCTCATGATTTTAACAATGTATAAGGAGCTATAAGAAAGATACAGAAGAAGGGAGAAGCTGACTGACATCCGTTTCCCTTGGGTTGAAGGCTGTAGTGGGAAAACAGAGTGAGAACCCAGTGTGTCTGGTGGAAGCTCTGGGTGCTATGGTTCCTTGCCATCAAGGCATCTAGAGTTGTTTTTGCAAAACAGGTAGTTTTTCCCAGTCTCTACCAGGACATCTGATGGGTGCTTTCATTCAAGAAATGTGGCATCCAGCTCCCATTAAAAATGGCCTTTCATGAAGGGATTGGTTTATGGGAGTGTTGGATAACTAAGGCATATATGTGTCTTCATATTTCACTAAAATTATAATACATATCTTACAACACACAAAAGACTTACCATTTCCATTAAAGATATGTTTTTGTAGTGGTAATATAGGGCGATTTATAAGGTTTTCATCCAGGTTAGTAAAGGCTTCTTTGATTAAAGGCAAGCTGCTTATAAGCACTGAAGACATGACTCCAAAATCCAGACTGATAACGTTCCCATACTTCTTCACAAACTGAAAAGTATTTCAATATTTAGAGATGAGTGTACTTATAGCTCTGTATCCATGGATGACAGTCATGTGTGTAGCCAATGCAAGTTATACTAACAGGTTCTTATTTCCCTGGATATATCTTGGTTTGTGAAAGTGTTTTTGATTTTTTTCCTCTGCTACTATACTAAACTCAAACTCACTTCAAGAATGGAATTTACCTTATACAAATTCACTAACATGAACTGATATGAGGGGAGGGTATATCTACCATGCACACCCAGAAGAAGGCTTGAGGACATATCAATAAATAGGCAGATTCTCTAACTGAAGCACGAGAGCACAGCAAATGCCACCTGCCAAAGACCAAAGTATTTCTGTGCAAGTCCAATGTAGCAAGCGCAGAATTAGAAAAAAAATCTGCACATTTATATATTTATCTATCATCTATGTGTCTATGTATCTATCATCTATCTAATGTGTGTTTGTGTCTGTGAGAGAGAGAGAGAGAGAGAGAGAGAGAGAGAGAGAGAGAGAGAGAAGGGGTGGTTGTTGCGTGTGCAGAGGTCAGAGGACAACTACTTTTGGGAGCCTGTTCTCCCCTCTTGCCATGTGGGTCCAGGTGATTGAGTTCAGATGAACATGTTTGGCAGCAGCTGCCTTTACCCACTGAGCTAATTCTCTGGCTTACAAGTGTGGAATTCACAGGAAATAATAATATCTGCTGATGGTTTGTTTGTGTAAATAATCATGCTAACACAAGGAACAGCAACATAACTGTGGCTATTTAAATATTAACCTATGATTTAGAAGATGGCTCTAGTAATGGAAATATCGAAGAAATAGAGGGGCAGAGCCCGGAGAAAGGGCTGATGGGCTTATTCCGTATTCAGGTACAAAATCCTGTTCGATGTTAAAAAATCTGACTGCGTTCTCAGAAATACTTTTAAAGATGAATAAAAGAAAAAGAAAGAGAATGAAATGAGTGTCAGCGCTGCAGGCAGTTATGATGAGACTTGATAGGCTAGGATCAAGTGGTAGGCGAGGAGGATTCCTCCTTCTGTGGACTAGGGAAGGGGGATAAGGAGGAAGAGTGAGAGAGGGTGGTCCTGGGAGAAGATGAGGGAGGAGGCTACAATCGAGATATAAAAGTGAATAAAGTATAAAAAGTAAATTTATATATTTTAAAAAATAAAGAAATAAATATTTTAAATAAAAATGCAAAAAAAAGAGAGAGAGAAGTGAGTACTTTTCATATAAGACAGTGGTTTAGAATTTATTAAGTTTATCCATACAAGGATCCTAAAAGGTATGTTCCATTGTATATTGGGTCCCATTGTTATAGCAGGCTTGAAGTACCTATTAATATCTCACTTGTGTATCACATGTCCATTGAAATCTGATAAATTTCTTCTTGTTTAAGTAATAATTCTACTACAGAGGAAGCTAAGAAACTATGACATGGAAGAAGTTTAGTTTGCACATGCCTAATGAGAAGCCCAGCTTCTTCACTGTCCTCATTCTACTTTAAATGATGTCCTTTTAATTGATTTAACATGCCTTATCCCTTTACTCAATTAGACTCCTGTTAAACATACTTTAAGCCTGCTATAACAATGGGACCCCAATGTACAATGGAACATACCTTTTAGGATCCTTGTATGGATAACAGCACAGCACAATAGATGGCATCATTTTATCAAAGAAGAGGCCCAGAGCTGCCCATCAATCTAGATTTCATAAGATATCACAATTGATTACCAGGACTCATTTGACCATAGACTGTCCTGTGTTGTGCCTGTCATGTTAAAGCATTTATTTAGTGCCCATTGAGTGAATGCGTCTATGAACAAAAATCTCTAGTAAGTTATTAAACACCATTTTATTCTACTTAGAATATATGCAGACAATAAATATTGAGTCAAATCATGTAGTGATCAAGTTCTTCTTTTGTCATTATCTCACTAAACAACACAGGAAAATCAGGCCACTCCTTTCCTCAGCCGCTTTACTCGGTAGAAAATGGAATGCTAGCAGATGAAGCTAATGTGACTCCACGAGTGCCTACCGTGGAATCTGAACCAAGGGCAACACAAGACGCAAAGGAAAGGCCATAGGTCAGCTTGTGGGAACTGTTTCCTAACAGCAAGAATTAAAATTTAAGTACGCCTAAATTGTACCATTTAACTTTGTTTGCACTCTGACATTAATTTGCAAACCAATAGAAAATATAAAACATTGGGATGAAAAAAAATGACTGGAATAGGATGATGTTCCCAGTCTGTTTCATGATGAGCTATTGCTGTGATACCAGACACATCAGTCAAGCTCCATGGTCACATAAGACATCAAAGATCCAGTACTTCAACCCAGACAAAACCAAATAAAAACATGCTTTTTTAAAAAATTATTCTTACAATTTATGACAGCATTTGCCAGAAGCAAAAGTCACACCAAACTTTGTGTGCTTTTGCTACAAGCGAGGGAAAGCGAGTCTCAACAGGCCAGAGGTCTTTTTAACTTTCTGCTTCTGTGTTCTGGGCTCATACACTATGAAGAGGGGTTCAAAATCCGCTTTTTTAACAAGGGGCTGTGGTGATGGGGTTCATGCATGCCATCTTGTCACTTGTTCTACCTCTGTGTCTCTCCTGGGCTGAGTCTGTGAGCTTAATTTGTGACTCCTACAGCTGAACTGCTCTGAAGAGAATCCCCCAAGAAGCCTGCGAGAACTCGGGTTCCTACCCTTCTTTTGCAGTAATGAGGACATACCTTCCCTAGGGGATAATTATGAGAAGACAGCTGGCATTTACCTTCCTGTAGTGAAGTGTGGCTGTGTTAGACGCAGGCAGTTTGTAACTGTCTTCCTTCTTACCAACCCACGCTGTTGAGACTGAGGGGTCAGGGTAGTGGGGACAACATGTCAGACAGCTGTATCATAGAAGGGAGACAGGGCATCCTCTGCTTTGGTAGTCTTAAGTGGAAAACAGTGTTAGCAAACTCTCATAAGCTTCGTGTTCGTATTGCATAACACAGAGCAGCTGCTGGGAAGATGGTAAGAGAGAGATAACGGAAGAAGGAAGATGAATAAAAAGGCAATTACTTGAAAGTATCCAAGAAGCTCATGGGAAGACAGGAAACAAACAAATGAAGGAATGAAAAACCGAGCAAAACAGACAAAACAATAAAACATCGGGTTTAACTGCTTACATATAAATAGTAAACATAAGTGTTCTTCCTTAAATAATAAAAAAATTCCCAAGTATATGCTATGAGATGAATGCATTTCTAGTATTATAAGTATACAAAATTTAAAAACAGACCACGCTTTCAATGGTCTGTAGCCACGGGAAGCGCCTTCGCTGTGTATTTCTTAAAGGAGCATATTTAGAAGCTAACTTTTTTGCCTGGGGTTAGCAAGTGCTGTAGAGCCCAGACCACTAGGGCCCTTGTTCCCGGAAGTCCCAGATCCAGCAGCATAGGATTAGGGCCGGTAAAGCCAGGAACCTTCACCCCTTCCTACCCGCTGAACTGCAAGATGTGGCTCCTTAAAGTCCAACTGGAAAAAGCAGCCCACGAAGGGCAGGCGAGGCGGCCCTGGAGGGTAGTTCTTGGGGCGCCGGCTTTTGAGGTAATCGGCCAGGAACAGGAAGGTGACAGCAGCCAGCAACAGAGTCCGGAGATGGAGCGCTGCCCAGATCGTGGCCACCAGGGAGCCCGCTGCTGCCAGCATGGCTGGTACCTGAGCAGGCTTTTCAGAGGACTGAGAGTCTGAGCTGAGGTTTAGGGATCCTATCCTTCCTTGCAAGGCTCTGAGCTACATCTATTCTGTCTCCACCCCCACCTCCAGCCACACCCCTTCATTTCCCTCTAAGGCTCTAGGACCCAGATAGCACAGACACCCTGGCCCACCCTCTCTGAACAAAGGTCTTAGCCTCTCCTTCCTGTTAGCACAGGACACTCCCTGATCCCCTGGAACCTCTCTACTCTGGCCAACAACCCCTGCCTCCCCTTTTCCCCTTCCTAGTGAGCTGGGCCACAGAAATTACAGGGAGGTTTTGGCATGAACTTGTTTCAGTTGGCGAACATTGACTATAACATAGAATCAAACGGAGGAAACACCTTGGGATACAAATAAACTCTTAGTCCCTTAAAAACAGAACAAAAATATCTTTTCTTTGAAAGGAAAGAGAAGATAAGAACAATGATAGGGATGAAAAACAAACAAACAAACAAAACAAAAACAACAACAAAAAACAACCGGAAAGCCTTAAGGAAAGATCTATGTGCCTCTTGTAGAGAGCCAGGCTACTGAAATGAGTGTCAAAATAAAACAAAACAAGCAAAAGCTCGCAAAACAACAGCAACAACAACAAAACAAAACAAAACAAAACAAAAGCTTGTAAATTCAGAGATTTCTAAAGTTGTAAAGGTTGATTCCAGTATGAGACCCCCATCCTACCAATGAAGAAGCAACACTCTTGATAAGTACCGGTTTGTCCCAAACTCATGTACAATTAATGACACTCACCCTATTACTACCAGCTCATGTATTCTGTAATGTCGTTTCATGAGAACAATTCATAGTTTTCAGTGTTGGAATTAAAAGATGCTTTCCTTTTTATCCAGGTGAAGTCAGAATCACAACCTTTGTTTGCATTTAAGTGGCAGGACAGACTAAGAACCCAAACCCCAGTTCTATTGACAGTACTGCCTTAGGGTTAAAGAATTTCCCTGTGATCTCCTGAGAGGCTAGGCCAAGATTTAAAAGGCTTGGGTTGAAAGAGGTTGTGTCATTAAACTATGACTATAGTTTGCCAATTACTGGAAACATTTAGAAGATGTTCAGCCAATATTCTAGCAGAGAAGGCATGAATGTGCAGTTTGGGAAATTCTTGAAAGTTGTCCTTGAATCTGGAAACAGAAGTCTGACTGAGGACAAGAAAAGTCTGACTGAGGACAAGAAAAATCCTCTTGATAACTCCCTAGGGACCGACAGGAGAATTTCTATCTTCAAGTAACTATGAGAGAAGATTAACTATATATAGGAAAGGAAAGAGAAAATTAATTGAAAGAAATGCTGCATGACGCAGTTTTCATGGGGTCACCATCCGTGATATGGGGGTGGGACAGTGTGGTTAGGGCCACCCACAATACTGTAAGAAGCCCTCACTTGTGCTTTATAAGAAAGCCCAATTGGTCTCAACAGCTGGGCTCTGGTGAAATTGTAGTCTTGTCTGTTGTTGGTGGCCAGCTGGGATGAAGAGGCATTTGTTTTCCTCCCCAAGAAAAGGTAACCCTACAGGATATTATTGCGAAACTTCTACAAGACGATAAAGTATTCCCTAGGCCAATTCTCTATAGTGTATTACTCCACACCAGATGGTAACTCTCTTTGGGATGTTACCAGGGAAACTGAGGTACCCACAAACTAGTAAACAAATTAAACCTAAATGATGGCAATAATCTGTGAGGAGAAAGAGCTGCATTTTAGAAGAGCAGCAATTGTCTCCTCAAAGCTAGTTCATCCCTCTAACAGTAGGGGTATTTAGATAATCTTCTAGACCAGAATTGAGACAAATATCAAATACTTATGAGGCTGTATTTATACACAGTGCATGCATATGCACACAGAGATACATAGATGTAACAATAACAAAGAAGATGCCATACATTTGAGAGAGGGGACACAGGAGGAGTTGAACAGGAAGAAAGTGGAAGAAATAATGTAAACACAGTACTTGTGTAAGGAACTCTAATAAAATCCAGTAAAATGAAGGAAAAAATACAATACAAAGAAACATAGAAAGAAAAAGATGGTGTTCTTGTAAAGATAAAGACTGTTGAAAAACAATTAGCCAAATTAACAACAACAACAAAGCACTTAACAGACCTGCACATGCCATTTTAATAGGTTTTAAGAACTTTAGCCTACCCATGTTTATATACAATATGTATTTATCAAGCAATTTAATAAAATAATCCAAACACATTTATAAGTATAAACTGTACATTTTAATTGGGCATCTTATATATATGTTATGATTTTAGTATTCAATCTAAATAAATAAAAAAATTGAAGTGGTCACAAGTTTTGTCACTTAGTTTTCCTGTGGGACAAAAAATGTGGAAATAATTATCATAGACAGACAAGACATAATTATGTGCAATCTAGTTGTGCCCAGTAGAACTACATTGAATGCTTATGTATCATTATCTCCTTATGATATGAGTAAGGCTGAGCAAAAAATCCAAAAGGTCAAGTTTATCAGGTGGACTTAAGGCACCATCCTTTTTTTAAATCTTTATAGCTGACTATCTGTGAATTAAACGTCATTACAGATAAAGCTACCACTCTCAATGTTAATTTAGGTCAAAAACATTTACTCTTTTACTTGTAGTGGGGGCTAAACTCCATTTCTCACGCTTGCTTGTGTATATCTAAACGAAAGGAGGGGAAATAAATAGACATAGCATCATAGGCCAGCTACAGCCACTTGCCTCATACCAGTCTCCCCTGTCTCTTATCCTGGACTACACACAGATGATCTGTTCCATGTTTACCTGGCTTTTGGTCATCACTAATGCTTAGTGGCTACTTTCCCCTCTAGACTTCCTTAGTGCCCTGTAGATCAGAACTGATTCCATCCACTGTTAATCTAGGGAATTTAGGCTTTGTCTCTAAGGTGCTAAGATGCTAACGCTCATCTAGTATGAAGTCAAAAGACAGCTGGGCTTTCAGCTTCTCCAGAAATTAAAATGCATTGAATGTAAATTCACCTATTTTAGCCTTAAAAGTTGCAGGAGTTAGCTCCTTCCTCAGAACATTGTGTGTGTGTGTGGGGGGGGGGGTAGGAGAGCTGGCAGAGTGCCATTTCTAAGCAATTAACTTTATAAAAATCTTATCTTCATCTGGAGGGTTGAGATCAGGGGAGAGGGGCTCCCTTTTTCTGAAGAGAGAGCAAGAGAGGTGGGGGAAGGAGGAAAAGGGAGAACTGGGAGGAGAGGAGGGAGGGTGCAACTTTGGGATGTAAAGTAATTAAACTGAAATTTAAAAAAAGAGATAAAAAACTTGACATAAAATAGAGAAGACATGGAGGGAAGGGAAGGAGCAGAAAGTCACTTGAATAATTTAAGGGAGACACAACTATTCCTAATGTGATTCGAATCCAGAATGTACTGCTTTTTCAAGCAGCCCCTTCTGTCTCAGGATGCACTCCTGTAGGCTAGAAAGTGGCTTAGGACATTTGGGAGAATAACTTTTATGATGACGCTCCCTAGAAAAGTCACATATTACTTCGTCTATGCAGGAATAGGGTTTGGATGAGTTTAGAGTATTTCTACATTTGGTGGCAGTTGTACATTTCAACACTCAGTGGGAACCTAAGGTCACTTGTAAGCCATGTGCGGCAAGAAAGATAAAGATAAGCTGAGTGGTGATCGGACAACATCACCAACAATGCTTCAAGGTGAATTCTGACATGAGCTCCTAGAAACCTTAGTTGGTACAGAGACACAGCTGCACATTGTCATCAAAAACAGCCTCGAGAACTCCTCAGAGAGAAACTAGGGTTTCCAAATGGAACTTCCGGGATGTCCTCTTCTTGTTTTTATCTTAAACTAGGCCATAGGCATCTTCTCTTTAGAAATGGATTTTTCTCTGCTTGGAGTAAAGAATGATGAGGCAAGGTCAGGGGATAATAGGTGAGGTATAAATCTAAAATAGTTACATTTCTTTGACTGTTGACCAAATCAAGGGAGATCTGAACCACAGGAAGTATTCACCAAAATCCACCTGAAGAGATAATACTGGTTCTTTGGATACAGGGGATCCATGTTGGTATCTGGCTTTTCCAGTGGAAAGTGATTTATTTTTTAGAAGTGGCCCACATTTGGGGACCAAAACTGTTGACATAAAACACAAAATTTACCTCAAAGGAGTAGGATGTGGTTTATTCTGGACATAAGAATGAGTATCCAAGGCCCAGGAACACAGATTCAGTTTACCCTAAATTCCATGTTCAAGGGTGTTAACAATTTCATGAAGTGGTATAGTAATAACAGAACGAAGGAAATCATAAATCATGGGGCTCTTCAAATACATTGAAGAACACCTCAGAAACATCTCTTAGAGGCTTAGAGGCTATTACTACCTGATGACAATCTCAGTCTTTTGGTTGGTTTAAGTCAGTGGTCTGTTAAATTAACACATTTCAAAGGTTTCACTTTAGGTTATATAAAAAAGTAGATTACGACTATTAAAGGTTCTAAAGATAGCTCAAGATAGTGTGTATCTGGCCCTGGGCCTGCAGCACTTCAACCTCTCCACAGTTATTACAGTTCTAATCAGTTAAACAGCCTTGCAGAAGATACAGAGAGGAAATTTCTTTATAGGAATATTTGTTAACACGCACACAGAGGAAGTCTCGATTGTCATGTAACTGTAGGAAATATTCTTTTTTTCCTATCTTGGTATGCCTAGGGAGAATTACAGTAGATTAGGTCTTGTAAACTCTGAAGGGTTTCTAAAACAGAATGGGCGAAAGCAACCCCCCTCCCCAGAGATCCTAAATGAACAACACTCCAGTCACTTTATTTCTGCATTTTTCTGAAAATGATGATAGTTTCTCCTCTCCCATCTCCTTCCAAATTCTTCCCACCTCCTCACCTACCTGACTCCATGACTTTTTTCCTGTCTTAAGAAAACAGACAAATATAAAAAGCAAACAAACCAGAATTGTTTTAAAAAAGTGAAAAAAGTACAAGAAACACACACACTCCCTAAAGCAACCCACAC